AAAAGTAGAAACGCCTCTCAGACTGTCTTGCGGCGTTTACTGGTTTAAGATTCATGCACAGGATTTACATCAGGACGTTTATATCGTTGCTACTGCTCACGATCTGGCCGCTTGATAGTGGAAAGCCCCACCTCTGCTAACTGTTGATAGCCTACTTCTCCGTTGTGTCGGACATACTTCAGATATGAAAACCAGGGAAAAGCAGAAGAACTGTGCCGCCACTGAGTCCTGCAGCTGCAGACTAAAGGCTAAGAACACATGTTTCTCTTTTATTGAGATACATATATCTTACTGCTGCTTTCTGTTGCCTCTCCTTCTCAGATGAACCTCTTTTCTCTATCTCGCAAGAAACAGGAACTGGTCCTACGCTTGTGTAAGAGAATGTACATAAAATACTACTTCAGTTCCAGGTTATTCGCATTACGACTATTTTAATTGTCGTATTTTAGGTTTAAACAGTTTACGCGAGTTTGAAGGAATTAATATGCGCATTGAATATTTCATACAAATGTCAAGTAATTAAAGGTTACATTATATTATTTTATTTTTTGTAACTTGGTACCGGAGTGTTGAGTTTGTGAAAACATGCGGGGGGTGGGGAGGGGAACGTTTTTTATTGTAGGAACCATCTGCCTGTGGCTCTCTCGTCTCGCTGGAGGGCGTAAGCACAATTGTCCTTAATTTTGTATATCATGAGCACGAAATAATTTTTATTCAGATTTAAATGAAGAGGGTTTATAAAAAAGACGATGCCACTTATACGTAGGCATCTATTAACCTATAGATGTGGCTCTCCCGTCCGGAGAAATGATGTTACGGACTCCACTTCGGAAAACAAAGGACAAGCCAGCCCGCCCACGCTGCGTTGTTATGCGGTTGCGCGAATATCCTATGCATTACGGGTAGAGGCCTTGAAAACTGCCTTTCAAAAATGAAAAGCGCTCCACGTCGGCGTCAATAAAAAAGTATACCTTAAAAGCATACCAAACATATGCATTATATACTGGAACTTAAATTAAGAAATTGTAGGCTACGTATATAATGTGACAATAATTATTTAAAGACAACTACGTATAGCGTACCACATTATAACTGTGTGAATGTAAATTTAAGAGTTTTCGAAGAATAAGAAGGACTTTTGAAATCTCGATATTGGGCTATCGTCCATCTGTTTTTAGGTAAGAATAAAACCAAAACTCTCACTATCAAGACTAAATATCACTCCAGGGGTGAAGCGACACCCATATTCACTCAGAGAATATCAGCGACAATGCTGATGTAGAGTTTCAACCTGAAGTGAAAGTAGCAGTCTCTGATACTGAGGAAGTTTGTTTTGGTAGTCTTATCTAAAACAGAGGGATGGATAGCTCATGAGATTTCAAAAGTATTTTATTTTGTGAAACTCCTTACGGTTTTACATATCACGTGCAGCTTATAATCTTGGTAGTCGGATGGACAGAACTGCGCCCAGGCCTCAGAGATTTGAGGCCAAATATCATATTTAGACTTTTTTTTTACCTTTTTTTTACATATAATTGTAAAGCAATACATGATTGTCACTAAAAGCCTTGTCTCTACATTACAATAAAATATAAAAAATAATTGATTAATTAATTTTAATAAAAATTCAAGTTAGTATTAAAGGCATAAAAAGACAGAAATGTATAATTCTTTCTTTAATATAAATATTTCTTCTGCCCGTAAAGTGTCCAAACCAGGCTTTTCTGGATAAGCACATTTTTAAAAATAGTCATTGTCCATGCCGGTTTCAGTTGGATTATTTGTCACAGTTGCTCCGATCAGATCGGTCTCCTCCATTTTGTAGATTATCTACGACTTTTGAATCCACATAAACATATCGACAAAATCCGGCTTACTTTGAGCATGTGTTTTAAACAGTTTAATCCCTTTGTAAATTGTTTCCACTTCCGCCGTCCTTTAATTTCTTCATACAGCGGGAATCCAAATGAATTAATCCTGAGTCCAATAACCATCAAAGTCACTCCAATAGTGCTCCTTAATTACGCTTTCATCCTCCTTTAACAAAATACTTCACATTCATCTAGTTTGTGACAGTAGTTGTAGCATTTTTGAGACTTTTAAACTTTAATTACTGCTGTTGCGGTCATTAAAGTTGCGTGTGTGTGTGGGGGGGACGCAATTTCCAACAGGAGTCATTTGGGGGGGCTCTTGGGAAAAAAGGTTGGGAACCACTGCTCTAGAGTTACCATGAGTAAGAAAACAATATTTTTGACAAGAGGTTTGTAGAGTAGTAAGCTGCTCTTTTTGTTTCAACAAGGCTGCCCCCATGTCTTTACATAACGTATTGCGTGGCGGCCAGCATTGACTTTGACCTGCTTCTACACCGATCAGCTGCAGGCAGAGGTCAGTTCAGAGCGCACTGCATCAGATCAGCTGTTTCTGAGGCCGATCTTGAGCCACTGTCAGTGCTCAAGATCAGTAGGGATGAAGCACCTTGACAGTAAGCAGGAGGTTTTACAGTGAAAAATTAAAGCTGACGCACTGAAGCTTCTCAAGTTGCCTTCCACGTAATGTAACTAAGCTTATATAAAAATAAGACAGAGACTAACCATGTGTGGCTTAAGGCAATGGTTTAGTAATACTGTATGGGTTTAGACCTGCAGAGGTTTCCAAAGAAAGTCTATTTTTCCACCCAGGTTTGGTTACTAAAAAAATATCATGTTCTGTTTAATTGAGAGGGTTATTTTTCAAGTCTAAAATGTAAATGCATAGTGGATAAATCAAAAGGCAAATCTTGATCCTTCGAAAATAACAATCTATTAAAAATTTGCAATGTTGTATCCATATTTTTTTTTCTGATATTTGTGAACTTTTGTATTAGTTCTGTTGTCAGTTTACTTTCATGCTCGTATACTACCCTAAATTGTGTTGCAAACTTGTGGATACTTGTAGATAAGGGGCACATAATTCACAGACAAAGCAATAATAGTTTAGAGATATTTTATTAGCTCATAATGGCCCCAAAATGGTTAGGCCTCTTAAAAAACAACTGTACATCTGGTAAACACGACAAGGACAATATAAATTACAGACAGACAGCACCAGAAATATATATTTATATATATATGGATTCTTTTGCATTTAAATAAGGAAAGGGAACATCTAAAAGAACAAACACTGAAGTCATGAATACAACAGATAATGTCACAACAAATCAGTAACAGTTATATTCTGAAAGACAGAAGACATTCCTTCATACACTATGTACAAAACCATGCCTCTCTTATTTAAATAGGTCAATATGACCTAACATCGTCAAAATCACCAGGGAAAAAAGGCAGTAAAGAATATGCTTGATTTTTTTCCACAATTGCAAACGGAAAATATGTCGTCCAAAAGGTGGGAATGGTTTTGAGTGCACCATGAACATCAGTCTTAACACAGTTTCTGCTCATTATACTAGTTTACAGTGATTTATAACTTTACATAATGCTTTTGAAAACAAATTTCATCATGCTGATGCAAAAAACAAGTCTTTGTTTAAATTAGGTCATTATTTGGTCCGCACCATTGGGCCTAAAACTCCTACTTAATCGGCCTCCATTTCACCCCTACATGCATTCTTTACAAATCTGTTTTTGAGCTGGCAGTGCTGTTTACCTGCTACAAAACCACATTCAATCTCAACAACAGCCCACATATATAGTTAACACCACATGTCTGGTGATGCGTCTCTACTTGTTGCAAATCATCAGTGGCTCACAGCACAGTGGACGTGCCGGGACTCGCCCTGCAATGTTCTCTTGTCTTGGGGCCCCTGCTTTGTGCCAAATAGAAGGAATCCTCTGCAATGGTTCAACATATGAAAAACTTTCCACTGCACATTGAGTCTCTTTTCCATCTGTGGCTCTGGGTGCAGGGGAGGAATCTTTTCTTCTCTCAGAGAACAGAGCAGGGGAAACCTGGAACTCATGTAATGTGAGTTATTTTTGCTTCTTTTTTTGAGGGCCTTGACTTTGGTGTAAGGTCTCCCTTGCAGGGAGACAACCAGGGGAAATGATGTGTCTACCTCATCAACCAAGCATCAAGAAAAGAAAGAATAGTACAACATCTACTTCTTTCTGCCCCCTTCTTTTTAACGCAACTTTAATCTGTCTCTTTATATTTTTATGACTTATTGGTGATCGCAGCGGGGGCGATCATCATACTGCTGGACTTCAGAGGGTAGTAGCGGCCCCTCCAGGTCTTCCAGAAGATGCTCTGCTTCCTCTGGTGTCGCTGCTTGGGAGGGGGACTCTGGAAGTATCTGCCGTTCAGGTTGGAGCGACCGCAGTTACTGAACCACCAGCCACCTAGCATGACAAAGGACAATATGATGTTAGGTGCTGCTTCTAAGAGTTATCCTGATTTTTAAAACTGGGAATAAAATCACATAGTCATTTATCATTGTGATTGTCTTACCAGAAAGGTGCTTGGCGCAGTTGATGTCGTTTTTCAGGTCGTTGTCTTGGTCGCTGGTGGAAAAAGGCAGGCCGGAGGTCGCGTCAGTCCCCAGGGAAGTCTCCAAGGGGCTGAAAGCTTCGGCCTTCTCAATCTTGAGTGAGTACTTGGTTTCCTCTCCGCCAAGATGAAAGGGGAGGCGCACATCTTCTGAATCTCCACTCCAGTCAGAGAGCTTGATGTTGAGGATGTAGTTGCCATCCTTAGAAATGGAGTGGATCTTTTCTAGCCCCAACCAGAACTCTCCTAGAAAAGAACAGATATACATGGTGAGAAAACTACCCTGAGTGGGGCCATTGACTCCCGCTACTTTGTTGACTTCCTTTTGCCTTTGATCCATTTAAGCTTATCAGCAATAAGGTGCTTTGGGGACAGATCCTGCCCTCTAATGCAGTGGTTGTAAATGACAGTAATTCTGTTTGAACTAATCTGACCATGGCCAGGCCGACTAGCACATGTTAAGTTAGTGAGAGTGAGATCAAAGTCAAAAGAGCATTTACCATTCAGGCTGCCAAAGCCCTTCTCGTAGGCCTGCCACTGCTGGTCAAAGTCAACTGAGCCATCTTGGCGCTTTTGGATCACTGTCCATCCGCCATCTAAACAGAAAGACAGAAACGGATTGATCAGAAAATGTTGTTTCAACCAAAACATCAGGGAAAACTGCCAAGTCGTTGACTGATTGTCTAGGTAGTAAGACAAATGAACTGATGAGGACTCAAAGGGCCAAAATGGGCTTACCGGTTTTCATCTCACAGAAGACTTTAAAGGGCTCTGCATTGATTGGCTGGATGGTATAGATCCCACTGGTGGTCTCTCCTCTCAAGAACAGCTCATGACAGTCGGATGCCATCTCTAGAAGAAGAGTGAACATACAAAGGTTAAGACAATCAGCTCATCATTATCATCATTTCAGAGCTTGGCAACCTGAATATGTGACACATGTGTTGCTCAATCGACTGCCTTGAACTCTGTTGATGTAATGGAAGTTCTTTGGGCTGCTGCCAAAGTTTAGCTAAAATCTGAGCTTGTTTACCTAACCCAGCATTGATAAGTAGGCCCATTTACACTTAGGAAACCTCTAAGCGACGTGTTTCTCTGCACGGCATGAGCCGGGAGTCTGCAAATACGATTATCGTTACGAGTGGGCTTATCTTGAGCTATAAATGTTTACCTGATAGAGCCTTTGACCTAGCTTCAAGTGAGAAAATGTCTCGGTTTTGAATATGACCTTTCTCCCAGTTCCCAAGCAGACCTCCCTCTTTACAGCTGCTTGGCCTTTCAGGCTATTGAGTTTCACTCACTACTACCTATTACATTCCTCAACCCCCCCTTCTCTTTGGATCGTCACATCCCCCTCACGTGCACAACAGCCGGCGGTGACGTAGCGGTGCATGGCTGGTGCATGGCTGGTGCATGGCTGGTGCATGGCTGGTGCATGCACAGAGAGTGATCAGAGGATAGTGAAGTGGGGGGGGGG